AACCCCATTTTGTTCCATTTAAGATCTCTGTAACACCTTAGGAAAATCAGGTCACAAACTCCTTCACTTTTCCTGACCTCTAAATACTGAATGTGTGCCAGTCATTGAACTATCAGCCCCTAACTGATTTACTTCCTTCCTGCTCAACTTAGACTCCATACTTCATCACTTCAAGTGTTCACGTGCTAACATCCACTGAACTCACCTGGCAAAACCCCAATACCATGTGATTTCAATTACAATTCTTTGCTGTCCTAGCATCTAGCATATGGAATGCTGTTGGAAAAGATCACAAGTCTCACAGATTGGTGCCACTGTAAATTCAAGGTCAAGAACTTCAACCCTCCCAGCAAGCTACTTTCCTTGTCAGCATTTTCTTCCATTCCCCATGGTGGCTATTTCAAATACTACATATTTCTCTCAAACTGCTACTACTTCTGCCTTTAGTCATAATTTTGCCTCTATGTCAGAGAAAATAGAAGCCATCAGAATAGAACTTCAACATTTGCTACCAAACCTTCAAACTCAGCTCCATCCACACCTACCTTTTCTTCTTGTTAAAATGCAAGAGGATTCCTCTATCTCATTCAGGACTCTTTCAAACTCATGTTCCAAATCACATAGTTAGATAACATTTTAAAGACTTTGTGAATTAAATTAATCTTTTTCTGCTTTGTAACATTAATTCTCTGCCACTATGGTTTGCCCTACCAACATTTAAATATGCTCAAATCTTTAAAAAAAAAAAAAAAAAAAAAGAAGAAGAAGAAGAAAGTCCTAGAATATAGGCTAATGAGGACAGGATATAGCTATACTTGTTGGTGTATCTTCCCAAAGACTAGCACAGTGTTGAGTTTAAAATGGGCAACACTATAAAAGTTAAATGAATTAAGAAATGAAAAAGCATTATATGTACTTGCTGCATTTACTTTTTTCATAAATACTATTTAAATGTACTATAATTTGACTTCTACCACATTAGTGTTCCTGCTAAAGTTACAAATGACTGCTTTATCATTCCATCTTGGCAGCAACTGACTTTTAATTACTAGTCTCTTCCCTTAGGTTTTCCTAGTTTTCTTGTATATACAAACATACACACACACACACACACACACACACACACACACTATATTATCTACTCAAGCTCATATCAGGAAAACTTTCCTTTGTTTTTATCCTTCAGAAGTAGAATTTTCAGTAATTATATAGTCTCTCTTTTTTTTTTTCCTTAAGGCTATGTAAAAAATTACTGACTGATTCCCTTATTTTAGACATTTAGGTTGTATCTTGAGGCCTAAAAATCTGTTTTCTGCCACAGATGTCTGAAAGTAGGCTTACCTACCTCTTCTTTGATACGTACCCTTGATTCTCCATAAAACCTCAATTTGGAATGTGACTATTTCTTTAGTTTCTTCCTGCTGCCCCTCCCCCCAAACAGGCCCACATGATTTCCTTCCATCTGAAGTTTTACTGTTACAGGTAAGTAGAGGAAAACATGCAATAATTATCTATTTAGCACTTATTAAGTTTAAAGCATTGTATTAGGTTTGAGCATAAGGCAGTGAGAGACACAAATACAGTCTATGCTCTGAGTTTCATGGACTTATTTTACAGAAATAAAGATCAATTCTAGTTATTCAATTATTTATTTAATTAAAACAAATGGGACCTTCCTAATTGGGTGTGTCTGGGTTGGGAAAGGAATGGTCATATGTTTCAGAAGGTTTCTTTAAGAAACACATTTAAACTGAAATCTAAAGGTTATGTAGCAGTTAGCCAGATGAAGGAGAGGAGAAGTTGGAAAATGTGCATATGCAAGAATGGGAAGAAGAATGGTGAATATGAAAAACTAAAAAAAGGCAAAGTGGTTAAATTGCAGATACCAAAAGGAGAAAGCATATGTCAGATATGGCAGGCACAAGGGCTATGGCAGGGACAAGGGCCACAGTGTTTGAGTCTTACAGGCTATTTTAAAAATTCTGGTTTTTATTCCAAGAGCTATGTATGGGAAACTACAGAAAATTTTTAAAAAGGAAAACGACATTACATTTTTATAAGATCATTCTGGTTATCATGTCGACAATAAAGTAGATAGAAGATTAATTAGGAAGTTACCAGAGAACAGATGATGATGGCTTTGTCTAGAGTGGCAAAGTACAAATGATAAAAAGTGAATGAATGTGAGATATACAGGAGGAAGAAATGTCAAGATGATTCCCAAGTTTCAGGCCTGTGTAACATGGTGGACTGCAGTGCTGATCACAGGTTAAGGGAGCACTAAAGAATATCTGGATCTTTCTTTTTTTGTTGGTAGTGGAAGCAGAGGTTAGAATTTCTACGTACATGTTTTTTTAATGTATTAATAGACCTGGGAAATATCCAATAAAGGTAAAATATTTTATAAAAGAGGTCTAGCCTTTAATAATAGGGGAGTTACTAATATATAGGTGGTTGAAGTCATGGGTGTTGCTAAAATTGCCTAGGGAAAGAGTACTATATGAGAAAAGTGCTCAGGCTCAAGCTTCAAGGAACAGTTCTATTTAAAGGTCACGTGGAGCGGGTAAACTGGCAAATAGACGAATCTTAGGAAAAACAGTAAAAGAATAAAGAGGAAAACACAATACTGTGGAATTGTGAAACATAAGAGAAGAGAGCTTTATTAAAAAGAGTGGTCAACAGTGTTAGGTGCTACTGCAAGTAAAAACAGCCTGAGGATGAACAGAGGTTCTGGAGAAATGGGGCATATGGAATTCTGAGCACGGGTGGAAAAATTCATGTTAGAGAGAAAAAAGGAAAGAGAAGCGGGAAGGTGGGGCATCTCACTAGTAATTCACGGAATTCTCAACTAAAGGTTTCAATTTTTTTTTCTTTATTAAACAGTGGAGGCTGAATAGAGTAAATACAGATGTTAGGACTTCTCATTTGAAGAGTCAAGAATCTTATAGCAGAAAAGAAGTCTGTGAACCACATGCTTTATTCTTCAATACATAAGCTGAAATAGCTGGGAGGTTGGTAGAAGATAATCACAACGACAATAATGCACTAGAAACAGAAAGTCTTAAAGTAGTTGAAGTCTTAAAGTAGTTGAAGGCAGTAACATTCTGGAAGTGGCAACAAGAAGGAAGAATGTCACTGAAGTAACTTTCAAGCTTGAAGGACTGGGGTTTGGGAAAATAAAGAGCAGCCAGCCACAAGGGATAATTCAAGGGGAAGTAGTATCCTCAGGAAAGAATCAGGTTTTAGTTAAGGCAATAAGGAAGAAAATAAGAAAAGGTAAGGATATGGAAGACAGGAAAAGAATGGGAGGCTAAATCAGCAGGAAAATGCAAAATGTTATGAGGATGTGAGAGTGAAAGAGGGTAGATGTGGAATGAAGGAGGTGCTTACACTTTGGATATTGCCCATGGGAAGTTGGGAAAAAAAAAAAGAAAATACAAGTAAGAAAAGAAGTTACAGACTTCCATGGCAAAATAGCAGGCCTATGGTTCCTGCTCCTTCCTGAGGTGGCAAACGAAAAGTGCAAATCTCTGGATGTGGTTTAAAATCACTGTGATGCTATGATTAAATAACATATATTCAGTTTGTTTCAAGTATATTCTCTATGATAAGGACCCACAAACCTTTTCTCTGAAATAAAGCTGTGCTATTCCAAAGTTATGTCTTTAGTAGAAGCTCTTAGATATAGAGATTTCAATAACATCCAAAAGAAATTTCTGCTTAATCTTCTCTGTAAAAGTCTTCTCAGAACACTAAAGTCCTTACTTCATGTTTTAGGGTTTATATTCCATCAAAATGTGGCAAATAACTATACCACAGAAATATTTTTTTCTTCAGTACTAGAAGTTACACACAGGAGACCTCTATCACTGAGCCACATCTACAGCCCCATTTATTTTTTTATTTTGAGGCAGGGTTTCCCAAGTAGCTGGGATTATAGGCATGCAAGCTGTACTGGCAGTATCACAAAACTTATAATTCAGAAGGGACGTAGCCAACCGGTGGATTTCAGAACCTCAATAGGTTGTAAAATTCACTGGAAGAACTCCACAAATCCAGACCCAGGTCGAGCACTGTTTTTAGGCTTGATAAATAATGACTCAAGCCTACATATTTTAAATTTTGAATACATGTAAATACTTTGATGATTAATTTAAAAGTGACACTGGAATCTAACTATCTATCCAAAAAGATTGGGAACACTGTTCTATGGATTGTCATGTTCAACCTCCTAGTCTACATATACAATACCTCTTCTACTGTAGTCCTGACAGATCATTATCCAACTGTGACCAAGGGATGAAATTACATTTACATAAATGGCCATTACAGTGAGGAAACTCGTTATGTTTTTAGACAACTCTCATTTTCACAAACACTTTCCTCCCTAAACTTCTAATGCTCTAGAATTACTCGGATGACCCATTTTGCAAATGACAGACTTGGAAATGCTTGAGACAATTAACATGTCCTTCCTAAGGCTTTCCTCTTATGCCTCATACTTTAGTCAGGGAGATCCAACAGTTCCTCAATTTACCACTCTCATCCTCGTGTCTCTTCAACATGTACCCATTTGTCAATGCTCCTCTTAAAACTCTAAAGGCAGCCCAACACACCAGATTTGATGTGTCTTTGGCAACAAAGAATTATATCTTTGGAAAAATACACTATATTGTTATTAGTGTTATCTAAGTCAGGAATTTTATAGCTAACAATCCATTAAATCTCACCTTGCTATGACCATTATTCCAGGCTAAGGTCTTCCAGAACCTTGACTTTTGCCATCTAACATATTAGCTACTGCTCCTAAATTTATGTCATTGGTAAGTTTAAAGAGAGCTACCATTCTACAGTAAAGCTTGTTCATTATTGGAACTTAAATGATCTTTTCTTGTTTAAATGACTAATGATATTATATTAGAAAGAACATTAACTTTTATATTTAATATATCATTTATATAATCCAAGATATTTTATATTAATGATCATTCTACTCTTACCTTGCTACAGCTCTGATGAAGTCTAACGAAACTGTGCATTTGTATTTTGGTCCTTCAAGCTGATCATCATGGCTAACCAGGGTTAACAGCTGAAGGGTCACTAGAGAAGTTATCTAAAAACAAAAGAGAATTTTTTTTATGAGAAACTGATTTAATGAGATTACATGATATCACTTTCTAAAACAGTTTATGGTACCTTTGATAAAGACATAAATGAGCCCACAAAAATATCTGCAAAAAATATATGACTACTTTGAAATTTGTACGCACAAACTTGTATATATGTTTAAAATCCTAGTTTTATACCAAGCATTGTTTAAAAAAAAAGTCATAATTTAACCTCTGATTCAAACTAACAGTCACCCCTTAAGGATTCCATTAAACACAGTTTTGCTTCATTAATGACTCAGACATAAATCTTTAAAAGTTACAAATAAGCTACCCACATTCCTTCTCTAAATAATAAGCATTTTATGGAGTTTCTATCTAAATACAGAATATCAAATGTATACTAACTTGGTAATCAATTAAAATGGGGATTTTGGTTTTTTTTCTTCAGAGTTTTGTAGTTGGTTAGAAGAGAGATAAATGCATCCTTCTGACTTAGGCTTAGTCTTACTTTATAACTTGCTACTAATCAGGCAGTCAGGGAAACACTAGAATGATTAATAATGGCAAAAACCAAAGTGTATTTTGATAGGTCAAAATCAAGTATGAAATAACCTCACATTTATAAGTGCTCTGAAACCTAAGAAAATAAGTTAATCCAAGAGCTGAAACTCAGAACAGCCCAATCTTATTTTTGTCTCTTATAAGCCAGCAGAAACAATCAATCAGAAATGACGACAAAATCTGGAGACTTGGTAACGTGTAACTGCTTTAGGACAATATAAAAGAGTTTTATTTATTCAATCATTAGATACTGGGGATTGAATCCAGGGATGCTTTATCACTGAGCTGTATCCCCAATCCTTTTAGTATTTTTTAAATTTATTTTTTAGTTTTAGGTGGTCACAATATCTTTATTTTATTTTTATGCAGTACTGAGGATCAAACCCAGTGCCTCTTGCATTCCAGGCGAGCACTCTATCACTGAGTCACAACCCCAGCCCTCCTTTTAGTATTTTGAGATGTGGTCTGGCTAAGTTGCCCAGATTGGCCTTGAACTTGCAATTCTCTTGCCTTGGTCTCCAGAGTAGCTGGGATTACAGATATACACCACCATGACTGGCAAGAGATAAAAGTTTAAATAACTTTCTGGGAATTCAAATGCTCAATTTGTGACTATTTTTTTCCTTCCTTGCAGTACTGAGGATTAAACCCAGGGCTTCTTACATGATAGGCAAACACTCTACCGCTGAGCCATAATTTGTGTATAATGCTTTGCAGATAATAATATTCTGTGAATAAGAAAAACAATAACAGCAATAGTGCTTTGCTTGGTTTTAAGTAACATATATACATAATCTCATTTAGTCTTCATGAACCTACCAAGGAGATATTATTATACTCATTTTATACAGGACTCTAAGAGATATTACATAACTCTCCCAGATTCTAGAATTAGTGGGTAGTTAAGAAAGAAAAACCTAAAATCCATGCTCTTCCTACTACTATACTACACTTTTATGAATTCCACTACATTTCCTATTATGATTTTAATTTAGTTATTTAGTATTTAGTTAGCTGTCATTATTTATTAACAAATTAAAGGGCAAACAGATGGTAGATATCAGCATTTTACATAGAAAATACTACAGTTAGCAAATATGAAGCAATATTTTAAAAAAATAGTTCGTATTAATATATCAAAATGTGGAGCTCTGCATTAAAAATGTTGGCTTTTATTTCTAATTCAATATCACCCATCAGGTTATACCTTGAAACAGTTTTTAGAAATGCTCTAGGTGTTGAAAAAAGTATGTTTTACAGCTGCTGGGTGCTCTATTCTACACGTCTATTAGATCAAGCTTGTTATTTGTGTTGTTCAAATCTTACATATACTGTTTAAAAAAAAATACTTGATCTATCAAACTGGAGGAGTAAATTCTCTCACTATGATGGGGGGGGGTTCTTTTTCTTCTTGTAATCCTGTTAATTTTGCATTGTAGTTTTGCAACTATGTTATTAAGTGCATAAAGATCTAAAATTACTATACTTGTAGAACAGTGAAACTTTTTCACTATTATATAATCCTTTTCTTCTTCAGTAATGTGTTTGGATTGCAGTGTATACTTCCTCATATTGATATAGTTATATCAGAATTCTTTTCTGTGCTATGCCTATTTTCTATGTTACTACTTATGATTTTACTTTCAAGTTTTATGTTTTCTTAACGGTTTATTTATTGAGGTACTGGGGATTGAATCCAGAGCCTTGTACATGCTAGGCAAGTGTTCTACTACTGACCTATATCCCCAGCCCGTTTTCTTAACTTTAGACAATTTGCATGCAAAGAGCATGCAGGGTGTCTCAGGTGGATCTTTCAGTTGGACCATATACTCCATTTGCTTTTATTAAGTATAATGATTTCCTATAATTTTATTTCTATCATGTCAACATTTCTATTTTTCTCTGCTTTACTACATGTTCTTCTCATTCCTTGGTTGCCTTTCAGTGTACTGATTATATGTTCTCATTCTATTGTTTTTACTCTAGCACTCTGGAAATTGTTTTATATTCTATCTAAATTCCAACTTCCATTTTGAATTTTTTCTTAGTTCCCAAACTATTTGGGAAATGTTTCTTAATTGCTAACTTAACAAGTTTTTCTAGATGATGATGATGATGATGATAATGATGATTTGCGGGGAGGGGATGCAGAATGTGGTCTGAATACCAGCTATCCTTTGAAATTTGTTGAGGCAGTTGGATTTTCTATGAGGGGAAAAGGCTGTTCAGGGACATGGGTATCACTATAACAGAAAGTGAAAGTGATCATGGTGGCTACCCTGTCTGCCTCTTCTGTCCACAAGGTGTCTGCCCCTGTTTGGTTAGAATGTCACCAGCTAATGACAACTGAACACAAAACATGCCTACCATCTGGGATATCTCATAGGGGCAAATGATGTGGGGTGTGACACGTTTTCTCTCATACATGTATGTATATAATATCCTCCATTTTTCCTCTTGCCTGCAAAGCCTAAAATGTTTTTTTAGGGGGGAATTATATCTGTACTGAACGTGATAGGCATTTTTTGTCATCATTTATAACAATACAGGACAACAATTATCTATATAGCATTTGTATTAGGTATTATAAGTAATCTAGACATGATTCAAAGTATCCAGCAGGATACATAAGTTATATGCAAATTTATTACACCATTTTATAGAAGAGATTTGAGCATCCAAGGATTTTGGTATCCACAGGGGTCCTGAAATCAATCCCCTGCTGATACTGGGGGATAACTACATTAACTAAAAAGAAAAACAGTGAAGGTGTCCTAAAATGTAAAGGAAGGTTCACTTAATAATGAAAAAATTCAGGTCCTTAAGACCAGACCTTCACTATGAAGGTATGAGACATAATATGATGGGCAAACAAGGAATAAAATGGTCCTTGGGGGAGGGTTGTATAGTGCTGTAAGCCAAGATGAGACAAACTATATCCTTCCCAGATCAGAAACAGATAGAAATCCATGATGAGCCCTGAAATTGTAATGAATGGGAAGATATATAGAAAAGAGTTAACATGGTCTCTTTATGGCAAACTACATTAACTTCAACCCTTTCTAAAGGGATTCATTTGCTATAATAGGTTAGTAATAGTCATTTGAAAATCATACACTAAATTCACTTTATTATTAACAGCAAGTCTCCCTAGTACTTTTTCTTTTAATATAGAAGAAAACATCAATTACCTTTTACTTTGCCACTGGCATTTCCTTACATTTCTTATGACTTCTACTTTCCTGTGATTCAAATATTCTTACACATTTAATTACATTCTCTAAACTGTGTAGTAAAATAACTCTTCCACAATTTTCACAGAAAAACACAAAATCTGTCTTTTATCTACTTAAGTTTGAATATTCAGAAATATTTCAGATACCCTATTTTATGACTTTTACTGCATTAGTTATAATAAACATTCAAAAGCAAAATGTTGGAACCAATAGTCCCTTGAAGTCACTTTCATTTTATCAGCATTTCATGTATAAACTGATCATATAAATTGTGCAAAAAAAGCATACAGTATCACTTTAAGATAGCAGTCAAAAGTACTCCAAGATATTAATAAGATGATTGATCAATTTTGGGAGGAGAGGGAATTTAGGAAAAAATAATATACTAAAATCTAAACTTAAAGAAAGTAATTAAGTTAGAATTCAAGTTTTCACATTAAAAAAATATAAGCCTCACTTCAGGGGTTTTCATTACTTGACCTTATCATATAAAAATTAATCAAAAACAACATACAAGTACATAGCTGAGGAGAACAAATATTATATAAAGTAATGTGAAAATACACCAACAATTTAAAAATACTTTCCTAGTTTATTAAAATATTTACAAAGTAAATTGGAATAAATAATGAACAAGGATTACTTCAGAGTAATGTTTTGAATCTCATACTCATTTATAACTATACTAAATGAACACTTTTGGAAAAACACATATGAAGCCTTTGTAAAGCTTTTTCTATGCCTGAATAAACACAAGAATATTCAGGTTGGGGATGTTGATCCTTGTCAAGTGCTTGCCTAGCATGCATGAGACCATGGGTTCAATCATCAGCACCATAAAGAAAAAAAAATTCACCATCCTTTCCATTATCTAATCCTCACATTATTTAATTTTTATTTCCAATTGTATATTCATGAAACTCTTGAGAACTTACTCTAGGTAATGTGTACTCAAAGATAAACAGAATCACAGAAAATGCTTATTTACTTTCTTGAACTTTAATTGTTCATGACAATATAATGGGCCCAGATCTTCAGACTAGCACTGAGATCTAAGTAGTCTGGTACGGTCAGTGTGTATAGGATAGAAGTCTCTAGACAGTGAAGGAACACAGACTCAATCTCTGTTTAATGTGTATGCATTGGCTAGTATAACCAATTCTAGCCAATTCTAGAGGTAGGGCAGGTCTTTCCCATCCAGCTGC